GAGCCCACGGCAGGTGCGGGGGACGCAGCGCCCTCGCCACCGACAACGGCGCCTGCAGCGTCAGAGGCAACTGCGCACCGCTCACCGAGTGACGACAGTCGCAAGAGTGGGGGTAGGGACCAGCAGCTGCCACCATCACAGGATCATCGTCAGAATAATAATGGTAATGACCATCATCATCATCATCACAAACAAGATGGCCATGACTTGGACGAGGCACACGCCGGTTGTAGCGGCGCAGTTAAGAGCACGGACCATGCGTCCTCGTGTTCCTCGTCCTCCTCGCCGGAGTCATCGCACACCTCTTCCCTCGTCTTCACCATGAACAGGGGCGAGCGGTATCAACGGGTGTCGCGACTCGGACGTGGCGGCTTTGGCACCGTCTACAAGTGCATCAACCTCGAGACTGGCCAGCTCGTTGCTGTGAAGGAGGTGCGGCTCGCCGCGGAGCCCGATGGCAACAGCGCGGAAGAGTTGCGCTCTGAGTTCGAGCTCCTCTCGCGCGTGGAGCATCCGAATATCATCCGCCTCCTTGGGCACCGTGTTGGGCGGCGACACGCGCGCCTTTTTCTGGAGTGGGCCGCCGGCGGCTCGCTGTACGACATGATGAAACACATCGGCGCGTTGTCCTCCGGCCTGCAGGAGGACCTCGTGCGCTCCTACGTGCAGCAGATACTGGCGGCGCTGCAGTGCCTGCACGAGCACGGCATCATCCACCGTGACCTCAAGCCGCAGAACGTGCTGGTTGACCACGCGGGCGTGCTGCGCGTGACGGACTTCGGCCTCAGCCGCCTCCTCAGCGACGAGGCGTCCGTTATCGAGACGGTCATCGCAGGCACGCCTCGGTACATGGCGCCGGAGACCATCCGCGCTGGCCGCTTCTCGTGTGGCAGCGATCTCTGGGCAGTGGGCGCCACCATGTCGGAGCTCCTCACCGGGAGGACGCCGTGGTCGCACCTGCAGCCGCCCCACGTGCAGCAGATGCCGTCGCTGCTGCACCACATCTCCAATCATCCGGATGAGCACCCCGTCATACCAGAACACATTAGTGACGCGGCGAAGGAGTTCATGATGCAGTGCTTCCGACCCGAACCGAGGGAACGCGGCACTGCGGCGAGCCTGCTGCAGCACACCTTCCTGAAGCGAGAGAAGAAGGAATGAGAGGTGCTGCACATGTGCGTGTGGGCGTGTATGCGTCCCTTTTGATGTGTGTGTGTGTG